TCCATCAAGTCCGAGCATGGATTGGATCAGCAGTACTGTTGGATGCTGCGAGGGTTGGTTCACGTGCTCATCGTGCACGTTTGTGGTGGACCAACCTTGTACCACGAGAGATATTGCGTCATGCGTATGATTCTGTGTATCGTGATCCTACCCTCACCGTTGACAGGATCTTGGATGTCTCTCGATACTCTCAGGTGGTGAGAGTGGCGGATAGGTCACCCATGGCGTTGGTGAACCGCGTAGGTCAGCCTCGGATGGCTTTACCTACATTTGTCAGTTATCCGGCATCACATGCATATCGTGATGGGGGACCTGGACTACTGTGGGACAGTACCCTACATCAGTTGGTGGAGCCCAACGCTGATGAGAGAGAGCGTGCGATGGGGTTTCTTACTGGTGTGACCGCGGCTTCTTCAGTTTCAGAGGCGTCGCGTCGTCAGGTTTTGGGTCAGGCTATGGACCTGAACTGCTTGACGTGGATTGTGAGCTTGGGTTTGGCCGAGCAACGCCGTTTGCGCGCAGATTTGGTGGTTGTTACACCACTTATTAGCTCATTGCCTACCGGGACAGTAGTGGCAATGGCTGGGGGCGACAGGCGAGATATTCGGCATCCTTGGAGTTTATGGGACGTGACGAAAGGACTTGCCAGAGTTGCAGCCCATGCAGTTGGAGAGGATTCTCAGGTGGAGGTGGCTATGAAGGAGGGTACGGAGAACCCTTCTTTGCAGTGTGTAGCGTAGCAACCATTGACAGTGTCGCCTCCCTCTAGTGTGCCTATGGAGGAGGAGTGGGAGCCATTGATTGGTTCCCAGATCACAGGAGGAGAGAGGCGACGATTGACACAATTCCTACGAGACTATAGGAGTTGTTTTGCTTTCAGTATGAAGGAGTTGGGTGCGTTGATTGGACCCGGTATACGGATAGAATTGGCTAGTGATACGCCAATCTTTCGTCGTCCTTATCGGTACAGTGAGATGGAGAGAGATTTGATTCGGAGTAGGACGTTGGACCTACTAGAGGCTGGACTAGTGGAGTTATCGCATGGTGAGTATGCGTCAGCCACTGTCATGCCGGTGAAGAAGGATGTACATGGCAACTACACGGATAGGCGCATGTGTGGAGACTACCGTCCTATCAATCGGCAGACGAAGTCCGATAAGTATGCCATGCCTACACCTGAGGAGATCTTCGATGTGGTGGGACATGCGAGGATTTTTAGTACTTTGGATCTTCGGGCAGGATACCATCAGTTGCCAATTCGGGAGGAGGACAAAACCAAGACAGCGTTTTGGGGCGTCAACTCCCACGGCAAGGATTGTTTGTATCAGTGGCGATTCTTACCCTTTGGGTTGAAGAATGCACCTGCCGAGTTTCAGAGGGTTATGGACAGAATCCTGGCGGGGCTGGATTTTGTCAGATGTTACATTGATGATATCTTGGTGTTTAGTGACACTGTGGAGCAACACCAGATACACTTGCAGATTGTGTTTGAGCGATTGAGGGCTCATGGTTTGAGGTTACATCCTGGGAAGTGTAAGTTCTTCCAGGAGAAGGTTGAGTACTTGGGTCATGTGATATACCCAGGTGGTTTAGGAGTTCAGCAAGCAAAGGTGGAGGCTATTGCACGCATCCCTCGTCCCACGGATGTGAGTAGAGTTCGTGCATTTATGGGTTTAGCGAACTACTATCGGAGGTATGTGAAGGGGTTCAGTGCTATAGCCAAGCCTTTGAACCAGTTGCTGAAGTCAGATCAGGAGTGGCAATGGGGAGATGAGCAGGAGAGAGCTTTTGTTGAGCTCAAGGCCAGGTTGGTGGCCGCTCCCATCTTGAGAAGACCTATAAGAGGTCGTCCATACCAATTGCACACTGATTGGAGTATGTTGGGACTTGGAGCGGTGTTGACGCAGCGTGATGATGAGGGCAAGGAGTTTGTGGTTGCGTACGCTAGTCGTTCGAACAATGCAGCGGAGTCGCGGTATAGTTCGTACGAGGGAGAGTGCTTGGCAGCGGTGTGGGCTGTGGCGCACTTCAGGTGTTACTTGTTTGGTACGCAGTTCACCCTTGTTACTGATCATCAACCGCTCAAGTGGTTGATGGAGTCCGACAAGCTTACAGGGAAGCTTGCACGGTGGGCTCTCATCTTACAGGAGTACGACTTTCAGGTGGTGCATAGACCTGGAGTTGCGAACCTAGATGCCGATGGTTTGAGTCGAAACCCATGCACTAGCCAGGAGGATGACACTGGAGCTAGATGGCATGGTGAGGTTGACGAGGAGATGGTGCCTGGTTGGCATGCATCTGCCTTCATGTGTTGGTTACGTGGGAACTCCAGCAGAGAGGATCATCTGACATCTTACTCTAGTCAGAGAGTAGATGGTCGATCTCCAGATCCTGAGGTTGAGGATGGTGGTGTGGATCAGCGTGATGTACACGATGATGCATTGGTGTTGAAGTTCCTACGGACCAGCATGGTGCCAGGCACAGTGGGTGCCAAGGAGCGAGATCGTGTTCTCCAACGGGCCAAGAGGTACCGATTGGAGGGATCACATGTTCTCCGAGTATGGGAGGACGGTAGGGTACGAGTAGTACCACACCCAGCCCAGAGAGCACGCATTGTGAGGCATGCTCATGAGGAGTTGGGACATTTTGGAGTGAAGCGTACATACAGCTTACTCCTTGGTCAGTATTGGTGGCGTGGTATGCATACTCAGGTACAGCAGTTGGTATCACGTTGCATGGTTTGTGATCGAGTGAGGGCATCATTCAATGCTCCGACACCAGTGTTACATCCATTACCCATCATGGGGTTGGGTTACCGTTGGAGTTTGGACTTTGCTGGACCACTACCTTTGACTGTACGACATCATCGATATGTGTTGGTGATGGTGGAGCATTTCTCCAAGTGGATTGAGTTAGTGGCATTACCTGACAAGGCAAGTGAGGGAGTAGCGTATGCTTTTCTTGACAGAGTGCTTAGTCACTATGGTGCACCAGCTGAGGTGTTGACCGATCAGGGAACGGAGTTTCAGGGTGAGTTTCAGGTCTTGTGCGACAAGGCACTGATTGATCATCGGACCACGTCGCGAGATCATCCAGAGGCGGATGGTTTAGCTGAACGTGTTGTACAGACGGTGAAGAGGGCGTTGCGCAAGTATGGCCTGCAGAAAGGTCATCTTGGGGACTGGGATATCCAGTTACCGTGGTTGGCCATGGGATATCGGTTTAGTCGGCAGGCATCCTTGGCTTCCTTCTCACCATATTTTCTATTGTACGGCCGAGATCCAGACTTGCCAACATCGATTCGTCGTGAGTCTAGCGAGGTGGTGAACCTTGATGACCCGAATATGTGGGTGAGAGTATGTTCTCAACGTGCAGAGCTCTTTCGAAGAGTTATGCCTGCAGCGTTTGAGAATCTTGCGATTGCTCAACATAGAGATACGTTGCGGTATGCAACCATTCGGGGAGGAGGTTATCGACCATCAATTCGTAGATTCCATGTGGGAGACTACGTCTATCTACAACAGACTGCACCGACGACATTGGATGTGACGGCGGGACGCACAATCTTGCGGGTGCGGGAGGTGTTACCTTCTGGAGTTCTCCTGTTGGAGGGTCGTGACGGCGTTGTTTGGAAGGATCATGTGCGCAATTGTGCGCCATGCCACCTCCCAAACGTAGATGGCACTATGGACCCAAGCTTAGCGATAGTACGTGCTAGCTTGAGGTGCATGCTGTGTGGGTCGGCTGGTAAGGCGGCCCGTATGTTGGTGTGTGATAGGTGCTCTAGGGGATGGCACATGTCGTGCCTAACTCCGCCTATCGATGTTATTCCGGCTGGACGATGGGTTTGTCCTCGATGTACTTCATAGGGGTAGATGACTTGATCTTCACATGTTATGAATTGCAGATAGGCGACTAACGATGGGGCGACATAGCACCCGGCCTACTGGTTCGCGCACCCACGAAGGTGTATAGCATGTAGTTGTAGATGGGGCTACCTGGGAGTCAGAGGGACCTGACCGCCAGCTAGGGGGGCGAGTTGTGACATTTGAGTGTGTACTTTCTCGCGCCTTATATGTGTGTATGTGTGTGCATACGTGTATGTGAGTAGCATGTCAGCGATGTAGAGTGTATGGCGATATGTATTCGCACGACAGCTGTCATGTAGTTACGAGTCGGCTCACGAAGTTCAGACACTTACTATATTTAGCCGTAAAGTTAGGTTCCGGTCACGAGGGGTATAGAGTCGGGGACGGCTCGAAGAACGTTAGTTCTTCGAGTCGAGCCTGGAAGCGTCGGGAGCGTAGAGCGACTTTCCCTTTTGCGTCGACCTGGATTCTCCGAGTGTGGAGTGGGTTGGGCTTGACTCATGTTTGTGACGGTGACGGTTTGTTGCCAGTAGGGTAATTGACCGACGGGAATTCCAGTGGGGAATCTCCCGTCTATTTCAGTTGTGACATTTGAGTGTGTACTTTCTCGCGCCTTATATGTGTGTATGTGTGTGCATACGTGTATGTGAGTAGCATGTCAGCGATGTAGAGTGTATGGCGATATGTATTCGCACGACAACTCTTATGAATATTGTTGTTGATGTGGGGCAATGATGTTTCCAAGGCATTCGTGGTGGCAGGTTATAAATTAACTACTTGCAACAGGTTGAGAATGGTGTGAACGCAGAACATTTCAAGTTGCAGGTCTTATTTCTCTAAGGCTCATTGCATTTAAAAAGAAAACCTGTGTTAAAATACCAACCAACGAGCAATCTCTTTTCGCATAACGAATTCGAGAATGTGCACCTTAACTTCTTTGAAAATATTCATGCACTTTGATGTGACATAGACTCTTACAAACGACACATATTGATGTAATTGGCAACTGGGCATGACAACTGTTTATTTATGGTAAGAAACGGATTATTTGCAAATATTTGATTTTTTATAACTCCGGAATTTCTACGTAAAAGGTTCGCAATGTTCAAGTCGCGGAAATTGGGCGACGCGCGATGACATTTCCTTTATGGGAGAATAGGCTGCGGGAGGTAGAGGGTGGAACCGGAAGCTCGGACTGAGTTTCGGAGTTTCCTCGAGCGAATTCGATTGCGACTTGGAAGGAAGGACGAAGAGCGGAAGGTAGGGAGCGCTGATGGCGTCTGGATTCGGGATCCATGGAGGAAAGGGCCGTTGCTACGACACCTGGATGGACTTCAGCGAGTGTATGTCCCGTTGCGCCGTGCCCGGCGATTGTGCTGCCTTGAGGGATGACTACTTCGAGTGTTTGCACCACCGGAAAGAGGTACGATTCAACACGAGGATCGATCGACTGGTTGTTTGATCTCCGTCCGATTTTGGTCTTGTGAGTCTCTTGTTGCCCTTTTGAAAGCTTCAACGTGCTGGTTTCGGATGAGATTCGTCAATTTTTTACGCAGCTGTATCCGTCGACTTGTTCACAGAGACAAGAAGTTTTCTCTGTTTCCGAAAACCTAACTTTTACTGGATCGTCGCTCCTCTCACTTAGACGGACGATCGAACTATTTTGATGCCTATTTGAAGATAACTAAAAATACAGAACATGAACATCGTACACACGGCTGCTCCAGCTAGGAAGTGATCTCAGGTCCAGTCAAGAAACTGACAGCGTTTTATTAGAGGCGCCATGTAATGCAGCTGGATTTCTTTCATCAATATGTTTGAGTTAGTATGCACACGTATACTCGACCAGGGGTCGTTAGGGTTGTAATTCTTATGAGCATGCAACAGCATCGGTTTAGTTTTTGGCTTCTATCAAGGATCGATCTCTACATTTTGAGGTAGATCAGTGACTGTATAACCCGGGATCGGTGAATGTGAAGGAAGTACAGAACTGACTTTCTGCTGTGCGTTTGCAGTATTCACGAATCAATGCCATCAACAAGGAGAAAGAAAGGCAAGCCGCATTACATAAAGACGGAGGAAAAGACCAGAAGGCGGGCCATCATTAGCTGATTGGTCAGCTGGTGGATAATTATACGAATTATCTGGGAGAAACATTCTGACACCTGCAGTCTGTCGATCTTACTCCATGGTCAGCTCATTGCAGTGATTAATAGCTGGTTGGTTTCTCGCATGGAAGCAAGTGCGTGATGAACATATGCTTTGAAACCGAATACAAAGTCTGTACTTACCATTATCTCCACATCGATTGCATAAGAGGACGCTGTTTGTGCAGGGTCCATAGATTGTTTTGGTTCAATCCAATAAGTTTTAGATAAGACATGAAAATCCTGAAAGTTCGGCCTTTGGAAGGGTTAGATTCTTGAGTATCCACTGGCTTTTTGGGGGCACCGATCAAACAACCCCCAAAATGATCAATTTTTGGATTCCTATCTTTCTCAATCCAAGTCTCCAGTTCTCTTGAGCATAAACTCTGCAATTTTATTATTCACGAGTTCTATTATCGAGTGCGAGGGCTCGACTTGTCACTTGTTTGTGCCCACGACACTTACTGATGACTATCGAAGGAGATCTGAAGATGCATACAAGCAGTTCATGAAAATACTGCAGGTATACATCGTTGTCAAGCTGCGTGATCAAAAGAAAATCATAGAGCTGTTTCTTCTTATGGATCTACAGACTAGACTGCGGAGGGCAAGTGATTTGCTATGATACTGATGAAAGGCAGAGATGTAACAGGGACCGAGTTGACCTCACTTCCTTTAGTCAATGTAAGTGTTTTGCTTGTAAGCGGGCCCTGCTTTTGCGATTCATTGTGTCTTTCTCTGTTTTGTTATTATCTCTGTCTGTTCAAAGCTCGTGTAGAGGTAAGTTTCCCCGCAAATTTTATACCGTGGAAGAGTTTCCCTTTTCAATCTGTTATCAACCATGTTCCCTGGTAACCGAAGTTCATTACGCCGACAGTAGAGTAGTACATGGAGTGCTCTGACAAGTGAAGTGTTTGAAGGTGAGAAATGAAACCTGTGGTGACAGAGTTGACGGGACAGTGGGTATGATACGATCAACCCTTAGATGTGGAATGCATGTTCCTTGTTTTTGGACATACGTATCTCTTTATATAATGCAGAACCGGCATCGTCTAGGCAACTACACTTGCTCGAAGCGTTGCAATCGCCTCGTTGTCACGTACGTTCTCTCCTTATCTAATAAGTGACCAAATGTAATGACCTGAGACGAGAGTATAGCTGAAACTCAAGTGCTTTTCAGGTGAAGTTTTCGGAAACAAAGTCCAATATGTTGTGCGACCCCAGTCGACTAAAAAACTCCGCATTATTGCTTCGCACAGCGGGAATGGAAACATTACTACTACTACATTACTATCAGAGAATGCGACTTCATAGAAGCCTACTATATACCGACGTGCGGTGATAACTTTCAAAGCAATGTACAAATAACCAATTTTTATCGCTCAGTATCTTCCAAGCCCGAATCTTATTTATGGGAGAATAGAAGGTACTTTGCGTTTTGTCTTATAACGTGTTTCCGCTATGAAGCATTGATTTTTTGGTTAAATCATTTCTATCACTGCAGTCATAGTAGCATCCAAAACTTTATCGAGATTTATCCTGACTTGAAGATGGCATCACGAGAGACCTGTGATCTCCCAGCGTGAGAGGAAGAGTGTAGTCCGGTTTGCTTTGTTCATTTGAAGGCTGGTGAACATGAATTTGTCTGTAACAAGAGTAGCACGTGACCGAGCATGGTCTTGATCGAGCGTCCTCATGCGACGCGGATCTCAGTGCCCGACTAAGTATCAGAGACCGCCCAAATACACGATTTCACATACTGCGGTATCCACTTCGCGCTTTCAACAATCCGAAAGCAAAATATATACGAATCTCTGCAGGGAGCCTTCTACGTTGTGTGCCAGGGGATGACATTGATGAGGATGCCCTTCTCGAGTACCCTCGAGTGAAAACAAAGCGAGCGGAAGAAAAGAACAACGACGGCAAAATCACCAGAAAAGACAAAGCAGAAACCACCGAAGGCAAAGAAACCCCCGGAGAATCTTAATAACTCTCTCCGGAGAGGTTTTTTTATCACCAGAAACTTCTATTAATTCACATCGCCCTGTTAGACCACTCGGAACGATTCTGAGGTGAAGGAGATTTGTCTGGGCGAAAAGTGGATCACGATTTACGAATTCAGACTAGTCACTCCAACGGTTCATTGTATGTCTATGTCTATGCATGCCAAGGTACAAACCTTGGCATGCATCTAATCTGAATCTTACGCGGGACAGCTCGACTACTTTCGCAATCTTGCGGTAGTAGGGCAATTTCAAGCCTTTCAAGCTTTCCAATCTGGACTTTCACACCGAAGCCTGACATCAACATATTTCAAAAAACCTGGAAATCATGACTGCTGCCATCATCGAGAATTGAAGGGTAAATAGAATGACTGTCGCCGTCTGTTTCTCCACAAACTAGTGCAGTGGAGCAGAGAGCCTCTGTTGTCCCTACTGCTTGAAAAGGGACATAAGAAACATTACTTTATTCAATGATCCACGCAGTTACTTTGCAATTGCCTCTAGAAAGCATTATAGGAGGGAAGGGGGTTTGCAAGGAATCAGCGCATACTCATTCTCAATCATTGGACAAAATGAATTACAGAGAAAGTAAGCGAAGTCATACCATCTGATGGGATTTGAAGAAATTTCATTCGACTGTGTATATAGACACGAGACAAATTTCTCTGCTTCTCTTGGTGACTCGTAAGTGTACAGATGAAACTTATGCTATCTAAGAAAGCATCCATTCTTCTCTGAATATCCTAAGGCTTTTCAAGAGTACTTTGATAGGGAAAGATGAAGAATCAAGTCTCTTGCTACGTTGAGCTAGGGACCTACTTGATCGACCAATTCATTGGGATCTCGGAAACGAGGGGGGGAAGATTTCTTCAAAAGAGGCACTTGGACCTCATCAAAAGCTTGAACTCCTTGATGTCAACCGCACCGTTTCCATCAATGTCCACGTTCTGGATCATCTTCTCACAGCTCTTCAAACTTCTGCCTTCTGGGAACCCCAAGTCCAAAAGGACTGTCTGCAGCTCGTGAGCAGTGATAATGCCATCTTCATTCTTGTCGAACACGCGGAAGGCTTCGAGCAACGTGTCTTCATCCTCTTCATCGTCGTCGACGGTAGATTCAGCAGGAAGGCTGTCTGAACTGAAAGTGGTGGCCTCCTCGACACACTTGGACATATGCAAAGAGAGGAACTCTTCGAAATCAACTCTACCATCGCGATTGGTGTCGACGCTCTGTAGCATCGCAGCTGCTTCCTCCTCTGATAGATGGAAGCCCAATCGTGTCATAAACTGAAACAGGTCTCGAGTGCAAATCATGCCATCGTTGTTCTCGTCCAGCTTTTGAAAGACTCGTCTCATCTCTGGAACCTCAGACATTCTGGAAAGCGGGGAATTTGAGGAGGATGAGAAATCACGAATCTGTATGAAATGACCATGGGTTGCAGCTGCAGCAGAGGCAGTAGTGCTCGCTTTAGACATCGAGTTGTAGTTGTCCATCGTCTTCAACCATCGATCTCGTGACAAGAGTACGCTGCACGAGAAATGCTTTGGACTGCTGCCAATGCTGCTGATCGTGTACGTCTAAGTCTCCAGAATCAATCATGAGGAATCCATCCGTGGCAGCTAAAACTTTGCTGGCCGAACTTCAGTGTGAGGAGGAGGAACTCATGGACACGAGTGTTGGTGGATGATAAATGAAGAAGAGCTAACGATCGAGAGGACAGAAGTCTGAGCTCAATGGCATGGGCGTACTGATACAACTGATGTCCAGTGATCGGCTTCAGATCAGACTCAACCAAGGCTGCAGTAAGGAGTACTAGCGGATCACCTGAATCTCGATCGATCAATTAAATGACTGCAGAGAGGATGAAGACCTTCGAGATTGCCTCTTTAAGAGTAGCAAGGAATTCTTGTTTCCAGCTCTGAGTCGGATGCCATTTTATGCGTTTGAGATCTGCTGTTGAGAAGGATTCAGGAGCTCTGACCGTCTGATTTCTTTGAACGTTCCGCGAAAATCCCAATATTCTGGAACGGTGAACATGACCGTGAGCAGTAGAAGTTGCTCATGCATAATTTCGGAGAACAAAACCCACGTATTTTAAGGCTCAGATGAAGCATGATGATAGCAGCAAGAGCACCACTTCTGGGAAGTTTGAACAGAAGGTACAGCTGTTCGATAGCAGGTGCACTTCTCCGGGGGCTTCTTGTAGACTTGTGGCACAGCAGCATTGGCGTGAACTCTCTGTCACCATCATTTCAGTCATCACTGCTCCTCCACTTCTACGAAATTCTAGCCCCACACAGGCACCCTCATGCCACCATACTACATTATACCAGAGCTCACGTACGAAGCTGGCAGCCTTTCACCTGCATGACCAAACCCAGAGGCGTTTGCAAATTTTTTCGTGGAATCGCAGATTGTGTTCTCCACTAGTATCACTGCTTAATATATCACACCTAAATAGTGAAGTATTCTGTCCAGTTCTGTGTCTCAATTTCTGTCTAATCATTTCAGGTTAGATTCAGGATCCATTCCATTCTAACGTTTATGTTTTAAGCAGGCACTGGAGATTGAAGCGTGATGAAACCGTATATTAAGAGATCCGGATTTCACCAGAAAAGACAGGGCTTTAGATCCGTAAGGACGGACTGCAATATGTTGATTACTCGAATTTCTGCATTGACCTCCTCACCTCTCCTCGTTCTACGTAGTCCAGGACCACTAGAATATCAATGAGCACTTTTAGTTAATGGAAGAGCGGACCGACTCCCTGTACGTGAGAGGCTACTTGAACAAGAGTTGGATCATGAAATGAAGAGTTTAACCGAAGATGTTCGTACCGAAATACAGTACACACGTTTTCATCTGTTTCTCTGTTCTTTCTGTTCGTGTGCAATTCATCTTGGACTTTCCGAGAGTTCCACGCGTTTTCCTTCTGAACTGTTTCAAAATAGGTCTTATAGCTATTAGAAATTTGGCTAGAGTTCACTTGCAATATGATATAACGACTGGAGGTGAGCAAAGAATAAACATCTTGTTTTCTCCTTCCAGATCTTCATGCCTTGAGCAGGGGATAAACCTGGCCCTTCAGACTATTTTGGGGCATCGTACATGGCTATAAGTATCCTCAGGCTGGGGAGAAATACCAGATGGAGGTTTGATCTGTAAATATTTGACAATGACGAGCTCTGGAACTGTATTAACAAGTGGAATGTAAAGGGCCTAGAATCAACTGGACATTCCTCGAAAACAGGGTACATGTGATGGAATCTGGTCATAATCAGAAGCAACGTCGTACCTGCATGGAACATTATGCAGAAGTCGAACCCACATGGCGGAAACCTCGGATCTCCGAATTATAATACCTCTTGGATATCGGATTTCATAACCTTTCTTTTTGGAATCAATTTCTCACGGTTTCCACTCCAGGTCAGAAAACTTGGGTATCAAAGCTCGATCACCAGAATAGAGCCTCAGTCATTTCAAACGATCCTACGAGAAATATCGTGCTAAGAAATCTGGTCCTGAGTTGGATCGACCTCAGACGGGCGTGGAGACGGATTGCTGGGTCAGAAAGAATAAGTCTGGCCTGGGACATACATGGTACAATTCTGGGCCCTGGGACCAACACCATTCAAATAATTACTTGATCTTGAAAAACTTTTGAATCGGGATAAGGGTCGAACTCTTTATCGATTCTTCGATTTCGGACCTTGAAAAATACTCCAACTTTCACCTCGACTCTCTAACAATTCTAGGACAAATCGTGCCTGGTATGAAAAGACCGAATAAGGAATCTCGGAGCTTGGAGATATGCCTGAGGCAATACTTCAACAAGCAACGTACCTCAGATTCTAACTTAGGACCGTACTCGTACCTCTGGGAGCAATATTCACATCTCGGACCTGGGATTACTGATAAATGGATTCAGAATATGATAACCTCAGACTTTGGAGACGTTTCGGAAGGGTACCAGCATTTCACTTTCAGACAACGTGTCTTTATATGAATCAGCATCTGCTTACTTTTATTGTATAAAGGTTTATAAATTCCTGAGATACGGTAACCTTTCTTGATTAATAAAGAAACATGTATTGGATATATGAGTAGTAAACGAGTGTATGCGTTGTGCTTTCAGCGCAGTTCGGAAGTACCTGTTACTTATCTTGGACTGTGGACTCAAGTGGAAAAGGTTAAGACTTGGGGTTGGGAAATATTGCCTCAACTTTATAAGCTCCAAGCCGACGTCGTGCAGTTACTAGGGCAGTGAATTTACTCTATGTGATGAAAGCACATATATGAAATCACTTTGAAGATATCAGATTCAAGGGTGTTGAAAAAGTAAATTTTTTCATGACGGTGTACCTTCATTTGAAACCTATGAACTTCATGAACTTTGATGTTAATCACTCAGTATTGCATCGCTTTCATGGGTACAAATTTATGTAAGTGACACATGCATTGGTCCTAATTCTTGGACTGATGACTTAGCTGTCTTATCTGGTACTTGTGTTACCACCACAAACTGAGCAAGACATCTGGTGAGATCTATTATCTCCGAGTCAGCAGCAAACATGTTGATTTCACGGAGTCAAGTCTCATCAACGTTCCAAACGAGATTCACATTCAGATTCTTCGCATCTACAAACTATTTCTTCATTTGAGACTAAATATTTACATTTCCTTGTCCTCCATGGCAGCAAAAAGATTGAACAATTACTCCAAAGGGTCGAGATCCTTTGGATCTCTCGATGGAACTGCCGCTTTTGGGAAAGTGGTGCTTTGTAAGCAGAAGCCATTTCACATCTTTCCCAATAAGTCCGATGACTTGGATTACAACGCACTTACTACAGTTCTTGGAGCTGAAGGCTACGGTGACATCATCGTAAGCGAAAACTTCTCCGATTATTTCTTGGAGTATGATTCTAGGTTACGATTTTACAGTTTTCCAGTGCCGGAATCTGGTACTTCTTTCGAACAGGCTGCGGAGATCGAGATCTACCTCACTGATACACCAAGATACGAGAATTTGTTTTTGAAAAATCACCATGTAAACAAATTTGCTTTCTAACGTTAGCTGAGAGTAGCTTGAAGATCTAGAACTGCAGCCTTGAATCATATTTTCTGGAGGGCTTACAATGGTCAGTTTAAACACAGCATGTACGTACACCCGGTACGTAAATAAGTACGAATGAAATTCTAGCCAAAGGGTACATATTAAGACACTGTCCTTCTCCCTGGCATTTCTGCGAGTGTAAATTTCTGTTAACATTGTAGTGGTCAAATGCTGAACAGCATGCCTACAGCCACGGTAAACCCGCCTGGCACTGTGTTTGGAACGAGCTCGAGTCAAGTGGTGGGACTATTTTCGTCACGGGGACCCAGTCTTACGTCTCCAGACTTGCTCAAAATAATCTCCGTAATACAAAGCTGAGCTGAGTTATAGTGAGACATGTGTTTAAGTTCAATGTGGAAGGAAAAATCGGATCACTTACATGCATACGTCAAGGTGAACCGAATATCTGACGAGTTGTATTCGGAAATTTAAGCCTGGTCTTATGGCGCCGGGAGTCGAAATTTTGTCCGCTTATACCAGAGGCCGCTGGGGTTGAAGGTGGCACGAAGTATAAGGTGCTGAGTGGCACCTCCATGGCCTGCCCTCATATCAGTGGAGCGGCAGCACTCATCAAAGCTAAGCATCCAACTGGGAGTCCTGCAATCAAGTCTGGTCTTATGACCACAGGTAACGCAACGTTATGAAACATGAAGCTTTCGTTGGGAGTATCATCAGACGTATTGGAAGAGGAAGTGACAGGAAGTGATAGGACAATCCTTTGAGCTATCAAAATCAGTGATCACTTCCTTGTCTGAAGTTTGCTCTTTTACAGCTTACAGTTCATAATGCTTGTTAGATGGAATTCTTAGAGCTCAGAAGGTCGTCTGATTGCCAAGTGCACGCGGATCCAGAAGGTCGCTGCTTTTACATGAAAGCATGGTTACATCAAGGTGGTTTGGCAACATGCAGCAAAACCCTTCAGGACCGGAACTAGTCCTGACTTGGGAGCAGGTGAAATCGACATCCCCGGATGCTGCAGACCCCGGATTGATCTACGAACTGGGGAAAGAGGATTATAACATTCATCTTCTGCGGTTTCGTGGCTTCAAAATCTGAATACAAGGCTATCAAAAGCCAAAACTTTTCAGCATGTCCCCGTGCCTCCCCCAGCGCCTTCTGCGTTCAATTATCCATCCATTTCAAGGTGCGTAGTTTCACCTGAATGAAACTACGCACCATCATAATGCAATAAAACTCTAGTGATACACAGGGATTGAAACCATGAAGTGAAGTTAGGAATTAGCATCGAAGTTCCAGAACAGATTTTTCTTATAGTGATTATAACCTACCGAATGACATATTTTTGAAAGATATACACACCTTTTCCACATGACTTACAAGCGTTGCATTTCACACTCTTTCTTGCTTTACGCTATGTTTGAAAAAGCTGGAATTTTTTAAAACTATCTCCTGATGTATCCATGGTCTTCATATATATTGTTATTTTATTTTTCTTCTTGAATCATAAGTGTTTCCACACATTATTTGGTAACATTTCTGGTTCTAATTATTAAAATTAGTTTCAATTGCCACCGTTTTCATTTGAATATTATCGTTGTTGATTCAAAGTCTCTATATCTTGAAACAATTGAATGAATTAGCAGTTTTAACTATCATGGAATGTTAGTTCTCGAAACATAATTCACGAAACTGTACGAACTTATATCTAAACGTTTCGACATAGTCACAAAACTTTTTTAAAAAAAATTTCGATGATTTGATTCCATGAGAATGTTTAAACACTGCCTCCCAATGGTGATGATTATAAAGCTTGAAG